TTTCTCTTTGCTGCATTTGACATTTCTGACATAACAGTGAGTCACCTCCGAAATAGTTACTGAACACACAAAAAAGTGCCTAATTTCTCTCTGGAGGAGGAAGAGGGCTGGAAACCTTTGCATTTCATAAAGAGCTGCCTGCCAGAGGTTTGATACCTAGATTGGCAGGTTAAACAAAAACGATAAGAAGAAGGGGAAGGAGGCACCTTGTTATACAAAAGGTCTTAGGTCTATAACCTGCTATTTCCATCAACTTCGGCCCATAATACTGGGACCACCAGTATTAAGTGACATATGGGTTTCTGTTGTGACTCCATGGCCAGGCAGAAAGTCTTACCGGCTGTGGGTCTATCTTCTTGAGAATCTATTTGCATTGGAGATGTTTAAAAACGACAAGATTAGAAAGCCAAAACTAACAAAATGAATTCCAGGAGGGAGAAATGTAAGGGCAGAAAAAAATGAAACTCATGGATATAAGATGGGGGGGGGGGAGATACCTGGCTTAACAACTAGGAGTCCTAGTAGACCATGAGTCAACACTGTGATGCGGCAGCTAAAAAGGCCAATGCGATTCTAGGCTGCATCAATAGAAGAATGGTGTCTCAATCGAGGGAAGTAGGAGTACCGTTCTATTCTGCTTTGGTCAAACCTCACCTAGAATAACCCTGTGTTCAGTTCTGGGCACCACAATTCAAAAAGGATGTTGAGAAGGTGGAGCATGTCCAGAGGAGGGCAACCAAAATAGTGGAAGATCTTGAAACTATGAAGCCCTATGCGGAGAGACTTAGGGAGTTAGATATGTTTAGCCTGGAGAAGAGAAAGTTAAGAGAGGATAGGATAGCCTTGTATAAGTATTAGAAGGGATGCAATATTGAAGATGGAGCAAGCTTGTTTTCTGCTGCTCCAGAGAATAGGACATAGAGCAATGGATTCAAACTACAGGAAAAGAGATTCCACCTCCTGACATTAAGAGCAGTTTGAGAGTGGAAGATGCTCCCTTGAAGAGTGGTGGAGCCTCCTTCTTTGGAGGTTTTTAAACAGAGGCTGGATGGCCATCTGTCCCAGGGAAGGCTTGGATAGGGTCTTCCTGCATGGCAGAAAGGGGATGGATTGGATGGTCCTTGGGGGTCTCTTCCATCTCTATGATTCTATGAAGCAGCCAGTTTCTAGACCTCGTGTCTCTGAGAATATGTTTATGTTATGTATGCATAAGAGGAATGCTGGATGAAACTTCAAAAATCAAGATGGCAGAGTAAGATCTCCAGGAAGTTTTTTCTCCCCTGCCAATGTTCTGCAAAACAAGAGAGCATTCTGCACAATTTATACAGGTGACAGGATCTGGGGAGACGGCATGCAAGATGGGAGTTTCTTGAAAGGCAGCTGAAGGGTTGAGGGAGATGGACTAAATGACTTTGGAGGTCCCTTCCCACTTTAGGGTTTGTGGAGGAGGATGGAGGAGAACTGCATTACCGGGAAGAAAGAGACAATCCTTCCCTTTGGAAAGGAAGACCGTTGCAAGAAGCCAAAGGAACCAAAGTCACTGGATGTCATTAAGGGAGCTAATTAGCATCGGAAGCTACAAATGAGGCTGCTGTTATTCTTGGCGGAGGGAGACCTAGTCTTCCCTGCATACTTTCAATTCTCAGGAGAGGGTTTGTTATTGCAATTACAGTTCAACCTTTCTCTGGCAGATACAAAGCAGAGAGGTGCCCCTGCAAGGAAG